TTTAAATTTTGAAGTTTTTGTATTGCATTTGCTTCTGATTCTGAGACTGCGTTTCTTCGTTCTGAAATTCGTTTCCGAATAGCTTGTTTTTGTTTGCTAATCTGTTTTGTGTGATTACGAGGTCGTATCTTTCGTCGTTAATTGAACAGTTGTGTAATTTAATTGTTTGTAAATTTCCTAAATTGTCTCTTGACATGAGGTTTAGGATGATGGATGTAATATTGGGGTAGTGGTTTCTAATGTCTTAAACTGTTAGTTCTTACAATTTTTTGTGGTTAGCTTAAATTGGGGCGTATTTGTCGGGTTGGAGAGAAAATCATATATCGATTCGTGAGAAAGATTTTTACTTTCTCGTGAATAATTCTAAGTTAAGATAGACTTACCTAATCTTACTTAGGGGAATGTGATTTGTGATCAAGGGTTGGAGAATAGTAAATCGATCCTCAAGGTTCAGGTATAATTAGAACGCAAGTAATTCGTTAAATATTATTTTATGACTTACTAAGTTTAAGTGTTTTAGCCTGGGTCGTCTAAGAGGAAGGGGATCAAGTGAAGGATGAGTAACCGAAGTTCTTCACTGTTTATCTTAATTAAAATGGTTAGTTGTTTGAAAAACTTCTGTTAATTCTGGGTCATTGATAAGGGTTGGGTAGTGAATCGACGTTTGAGATTGTTAGACACTAATAAATATGGGAGGGGGAAAACAAAATTGTTCTCTTTGATCCAAGGAAAGCCTTGATGATCTGTTATTTAAAATGGAAATAATTTAAGTGAAAGCAAGGATAAGCCTTGATAGTTTAATGATAAAAGGAAAGGGTTAAGCTTTTAGTTTTGATGATCATTAATTTTTGAAATTTGCTGTTATGTTTAAGGTGATGAAGCTGGGATGTAGAGATGGGTTGGGTTGCTTGGTAGATTTATTCCTAGTCGTATTTCGTCTCTTGTTCGAGGTCTTCTTCCAATACCGGGTAGTTCTCGTATTGTTCGGAATATTGGGTCTGATCTATTGAGGCGTAGAGACATTTTTTGTCTAAGATTAGGTTAGTTAGGGTCTGCTCGAGACTTTTGGTCACACCAGATGAGTTATATCTTTTTTTTTATTATACTCATTGAGTAATTTCAGATAAGGTAAACCGTCTGCTCGTCACGCTATCTTCTTTTCGGCCGGATAGATTCGTGCAACTTCTTAGTCTAATACCAATCTTAATCTTACTCTTATATCTCCTAGTCTCAATAGATCTAGTGTACACCAGTTTATGCTAGTTAGTTGCAGAATGAGAACAACTGTATTCTAAGTTTAATTCAAACTGTTCTGGTGTTGAAACTACAAGTAGTTTCAACACTTACAAATAAGTGGGTAGTTAGTTTGATGCGTTATGATGGGTTAGTATTTAATATTTTATAGAGATAAAATATCATAATAATAACCAATGGTAAATACTAGTATAGATCTGGTTCGACTAGCCATATTTCACCTGTGATCATTTTTCATGAAATAATGGGGTTTAAAGATAGCCATTTTGGCCAATTTGGGTCAATTAAAGGCGGAGAGTTAATCCGTCTTAGAAATCGTTTCAAATTGGTTGAATGAAGCTTATTTGCCATAATTGATTTGTTACAAGGAGCGAAATCTATCCTTTTGTACTTTATATAGCGTGTGGGGTGATGATTTTCATAAAAAACTTCAAATTTCAGAAAAAAAATTTTTAAATTTTTTCCATTACACTTAACTTTTTAATGTTATAACTGCTCAAGCGACTGCCTTTTAAATCATTTATATTTTTTTCTTACATTTTTTTCTTTGCTAGTATTGCTCCATAAACCTTAAAAGGCAGTCGGAACATACAAAGCTTCGCCCTGATACGCGCAGTCTTGTTCACAAATATTCTCAATGCTTAATCTAGCTGTTGCTTTTCTGCTACATAAAATTCTCTAGTTTTTCCGTTTACAATCAAATTCACGGTTAGAAAACTCGTAATGCGGCTTAGAAGGTTTTATTTCTGGAAAGTTTTTGTCGATAGACCTTTAATTTTGTGTTGGGTAAATTTCTAGGGGAATAGATCGTCATAAAACTTTCAAACTGTGTTGTTGATGCGCGCACCGATTGTTGGACCCTTGAATGATAGACAAGCCGTAACACGTAACAAATTGTAAGTGGAATGCACTTACCGGAATCCACAACTAAAATGTTTAACAAAAAATTAGTTGGCACACTTTAGGAGCGACTCGGAGCGATACACGCGTTCAGCCATTGTCTCTGGGTTCCATAAAAGCAGAAAAATATAAAATAGCTTTTTTGCGGATTCCACGACAAAGCTATTTTAAATTTGTGGAAACCGCTTCAACAGACAGCATACTCAGTTTGGCCATATAAGTCGATTCAATTCAATTTCGATGATGACAGTTTGGGTTAACTCCAATTTCAGGCTGTGAAACTTCCAGGTGCAAAAGAGGTTATAACCAAAAAAAAAATGTGGTTAAAATGATACACGGGTATACAAGCGCACGCGTTTTCCAGACGAACTGGTCGAAATATGATCAGATCAAGGTCACAACCGACTGGACGTTTTCGGTCTGATGATCGAACTTGGTTTCAAGTCTATCGAAATTCCACAAATTTATCGTCAGGCGTGAAATTGGATGGCACTGTTGAGTTTAGAATAGTATGCTGAAAAATGAGTATTATTTTCTGTTGTTCTGCTTAGAGAAAAATTTTTATAGACATAAATAACAATTGAGGTACAATCGGACCGAAAACGATCGCTCTTTTTTTTTCCACCAAACATCGGATGAGCATCAACTTTATGGTGTAACGATTGACTTTACAAGGTTAAGTATGAATTTCAAATATGCTTGTTATGGTCCAATTAGTCTGTATGTCATTTTTCATAATAATTCCTCAAGGTTAACAAATTTTTCATAATATATCTTTGCAGGTGGGGGAGGGAAAAAATATATTCAAAATTGAAATCAAATCAGGTTTTAGAAAAGCATCCGGTTTTCAATGATAACTGTATAAATGGAATTTAAACCTAGAAGAGAGAAGTCCTTGGAACAACCCACTAATAGTTTCATAGAGGTTAGCTTCGGTCATTTGATTTAGATCAAAGTAAAGTTTCTGTTTCAACCCTCGAGTGAATGTTGTTCACAGTGGTCCCCAAGAAGGTTTTTCAGAGAGTACGAACTTGACTTAGGTTTTGTCCACTAGTGTGTGATAAGAATAGCTTAAAATGTTCAAATAATGGATTTTTGAATCAAAGCAGCTCCATTGTTCTGTGGTGTTCTAAAACATCATGTCAATTTGAAATGTTTTGATTTGAAATATTATCAAGATAGTCTTTGTCAAAATGAGGTTAAACTGTGTGTTTTTAGGGAGCTCAAAGTTGTGTGTATGCCTGCGGATCCAGAGACAAATATTCAAAAATGGCAAATTTTTTGTAGGTTGAATCCTCTTACCAATATGTTTCGTAAGTGATGAAGATATACCTTGTAAGGTAAACTAGCTTGACACATAAAACGTATGGCAGAAGCCAATGCAAGCGGTTATAGGAAGTTTTGTAATTATTTGGAAAATCCTCATTTTGTAAGTATTTGGGGGAGCAGTGGTGAAGTGGTTACGTCTCCGCCTCTCAATCGAAAGGTCGGATGTTCGAGGCCCACCATGATCCGTGCTCGTTGCTTGAGGGTGAGGCAACATTACCCAGCCCAGAAAAATAACCAAAAAAATTGCATGTAGTTCTTAAGCAGGGGCACAACAGCGGTTCGCCGTGATGAGCTGTACAGCTCGTATGTTGGTCCTATGCCTCGTGGATAAATGATCTTAATTAATTAATGTTTGGCAGTTTCTGAAAGAAATCAGATTTTTTTTTGAATTTAGAAGTTATTTATGTCAGAACGCTGATTTAGTTGTAATCCGCTACTTTTCAAAATGGTTGGAGCTTCGTTTCTTACCACAATAGCATTGAAAACAAGATAACTAATAATTGAATTGATAATCTATCATGGTAAACGACGCATCTATATCTACTCACATTCTTTTTGAAAAAATAGATTATTTTTCATAATTTACATATTTACAGCAACATTGAGAATTTTGCCAATAATTGAACAAAAAAATGAACTATGATGGATTTAAACTGATTTTTTTATTGCACACAAAATCTAATATAATGACCATATAATCAAAATTTGCCAATATGGTCAAATTTGGCAACAAAATTGAAATAAATATCATGGACAAAAATTGGGTAAGCACATCAAGACCTTGGAAACAACCTCAAAAAAACACAGCTGGTATGCATTGAAACGGATTTACAGAATATGTTTGGCAACAGGGGCGGATTTAGGGTGAAGGTGACATGGGGGGACGCTGTTCCCCTTGGGGATTCGATCCCTTCGCCAACCAAATGGTTTCTTCTTCTTTGGTGTTTTTATGACATCTTTTTTTTTCGGTCGACAAACCGTCAAATTTTTCAAAAGGCACCTTCAGCGCCATTATTTTGTAATTTGGCAATTTTGAACTTTTTTAAAAACAATTGACAGCGGCGCAAAATTTTTTAAGGTTTTTATAGTGTTCTGGGAACGCTCGTAAAATCAATTTGGTCGAACTGAAAAAAATGTCGACAAAATTTTCAAAATTTTTTTGAAAGTCAGATCCCCCTCGAGAAAATTCTACATGCGCCCTGTTTAACAATCAGCTTTTCTTGCTGGTACTTTTGCTTTGGTTGCCCCAAAATGCCTTGATCACCTCGTATCTCTCAAAAACTTTTCTCAATTTTACCCCATGTCAGTCGGGACACTATAGCTTTATAATTTGAGGTAATTTTTTTTGACAAATAAGAGTTCTGAGGGAAAAGGAAAAAGAGCCTCATTCTGATACATCAAAACAACAATACACGCAAGAAAAGCAAATTCAACGTAAAATGAAAGATAGGCTCTTTTTCCTCCCCCCCCCCTCCCCACCTCACACGAGCTTCAATATATTAGTGTAACGAGTGGTTTTACCAGGTTGTGTATGGAGACCAAATATGTTTGTCGTGGCCTTATTAGTCCGTATGTAAATGTTGATTACAATCGGACAATATGGTCAACAAATTTACATTTAAAATTTTGCAGGTGGGGGGAAAAGGAAAAAGAGCCGAAAGATGTTGCAGCGATCCATGCCAGATGTATCTATGCATGTAAACATTTTTTTTATTTAGAGTAACGAATTATTAAAAACTGAATTTATTTGCAATTTGTCAACAAAAATTACTGCGCCATCAAGTTTACTCGTCAAGTTTTTTCTTGATTCTATTTTTAAATTTAAAAACTCAACATGATCTAGGATTTTCTCGAGGCATTGGGATTTTTCTCGATTTTCAAGGTTGACTAAAAACAATCTCCGAGCTTTCACAAAACAATAAAAAGACGTTCCCCTCTCTCCCTAAATCCGCGATTTTCAGCTTTTTAAACACGGAGCGGCGGCAAGAGAGCAAACTTTATTTCTTTGATTGTAAATTTTTTTTATTCGCATACGTAATAAGCTTTTTTCTTTCGTGGTGTAGTTAAAATGCAATAAACCTGTCAAATACACTCCCCTCCCCCCATTAAACTAATTAGGATACAAATAAGTCAGCTATTGATTATAGATGATTACATAAATCAGAAGGTAAGATTCGTTTTCATCATTGTCGATTTTCGTCGACTCAAAACTTTCGAATAATGAAATCAGGCAAATGATATTGATTATTTTTAATCAAAATGCTTTCTTTTAGCTTTCTGAGATGATTTTTTTTAATGAAAATACTTTGACTGGGATGATTTCGGCTGTACACCGTTGTGTTTGTTCCCGGATATTTTCTATGTCATTTTTCTCCTGCAATGATTCCTCATCCACAGTTTTTTCCTTTAACTTTCTCTTAGTTATCCAGTTGACACAATAGTGCCACGCCCTGTTGGACCCAGTGCTGAGGGGGTTTGTCAGTCGGGAGTCTCATATCGAGCACGAAGTTGGTCGAATGTCCAGTAGTTGACAATGTCCCCCTTCTCTCACTTGTCTTGTACACTGGCGCATCGTAGACTAGTCTGTCTTCTAACTGGTCTCGTTTGATTGGTTTCAACTGGATCTAAGAAAAATATAATTTTTGGTTTTAATTCATATGCTTTCAGCATACTCAAGAAACGTTTAAAAAACGGGGAAAAAACGAAAAACCCAAGTCAGATGTTTTGACTGTCTCGACCGACTTCGAGTATGTGTCGACCGTGCTAGAAGTTTGTTTTGATTAAGACCAAAATTGAGTCGACCAAAACTGGGTACGTTTCAATAAGGATCTTGTTCAAAGTTTGTTGTTCCGACTTTCGATACGAAAGTAACGGAATATTTGCGCTCGGGGTGGGTTTTTTTTCTTCAGACAAATTTCGACTTTTAACTAGCCATTTTTCTCTACCTTGAATTGCGTAATTTTCTTGATGAACCTATTTTGGCCAATATTATGTATTATCTGACGTAATATTAGGTCTACCAGAACTATATACTTACTACAGGCATGACGTCATGCAGTTGTTTGGAGTGTGACTCATTGATCCGTTTTGTCTTCCTGTCCCACCTGGCCCCCTCCATGAACAGACCCCTCACATAGGCCCCGTCTGAGGGGGGCTGTTTGTACTCCTTGTCGTCCATCACCTAGAAAAAAGTAAGTACAAGCAGAACTTTCGATTAAACAATTCAGTCGCAAGGAGTCGTATCCGGCGCTGCTCATAGCAGGGAAAAACTTTGGTTTTTCGGACTACTCTTCAGGGCGTCCTGACGGTTTTCTTAAAGAATCCACTTAATAAAAAAACTGAACGTTTTCAAAAGTTTTTTTTTTCTTTTTTGTCAACTTTGTCAACTACAAGTGATAAATGTCAACTACAAGTGATATTTTTATCATCTAGCGGCAAGTTATTTCAAACTATCAATTTGCCTCAATCCATAATTATTTCGTCACATACGCTGCACACTCTGAAAATTCAGAAAAAAATATCTCAAGGGAAAAAACTGAGCTACGATTGAGATGCATTTTTTTCAGACCAATTTCGACATTTGCAGCGTGTAGTGTATGTGACGAAATGATTCCTTGCAAACTGAATTGAGACAATTAATCGTTTCAAATAACACGCAGCTAGATGATGAGAAAATCACTTTGTAGTTGATATTGCGTGTGGTGAAAAAGTTGACAGCTTTTTTTTTTGAAAAAGTTCAGTTTTTTAGACAATTAAATGGATTCTGTAAAAAAAAATAAGGAGGCCGTATACGAGCGGTGCCGTTATTATAAAACAGCTCGGTTTTAGCAGCTTCTTGCGACTGCATTGTCTAATCGAAACTTCTGCTGGTACATATTTGTGCTCGGATGTTCTTTGTTTTCACAACTTTTGACTTACAATAAGCAAAATAAGACAAAATTTTATTCAATTGAAAGAATTTAATTCCATAAGCGCCAAAAAAGGTAATTAACCTATAATCTATTTTGTCAAGTCATGGATATTCAGACTACGTATTGTTATTTAGGTATACATTTAGGCTATCTGAGACGAGGACTTCGCCTTTTTTGTTACTAACTCTTTTAAAGTATATCACAATGTACTTGTGATATAACGCCTATCCATACATTGCATGCCGTAACAAGTATAGCCGACTGATGTGCAAGTAGCACAGATTGTTCCGATTTTATTCCTAAGAAAATTACATATAAAAATTTTTTGTTCATTCATTTTTCAAATTAGTTTAATTTTTGTGCGTGGTGTGAAAAAATATTACGACGAAAACCTAAAGTTTAGACCTATTTGACAGTTCAATCAAAAAAGGCAAAGCGAGCAACGCTCTGGGTTCTAACATGATGGCGAAAAAATCAAATTTAAAAAACTTAAGGTTTTCTTTTCACATTTTTTCGCTGAATTTGTTTTGAAATTTTCATTTTTTAAATTCCAAAATTGCCCTCACGAAAATTGCGGAAAAACATTTTTACTGGAAAAAATTAAAATTTTATGGTTTATCCTTTTCTATTAAGCCTTCTTGCTTGCTTTATTTACTCGAAAATAGACGCAACACTGGGACAACTTTTCGAAAATGTTTAAATATCGCTCAAATCAAGCTGAAGGTATTTATTATGAAAAATCATCCCAGACAAAACGATAGTAATTTGGGGTAATTGTTTGTGGTTAAAAAACAAAAAAGCTGTTCGCTCACCTTATTCGCTAGAAAACAGGCCTAAACTCAGATTTTTCAAACGAGTTTTTTTGGCACCCAGAAAATTTTTTTATTTTCAAAGATTTACTAAATATAACCATTACCATGAACTTATCACAAAATACAGCGCTGAATTAAGTTTTCCATTTTTGAACTTTTCTATGAATAAAATTTTCCAAGCTAAAGTATCAATTAGTGAGCAAAACTTTAAAAAAAAAGAGCCTGTTAAGTAAAAACTCAAAAACATTTTGATCGCGAAAGTTTTTGTTTGCAACATAATCGAAACAGACCTTGGTTGAAACGTTCTGGTTGTGAGCTTGTGGAAATTTTAGCTTGAAAATTCTGCAAGAAGTTCAAAAAAACTGAGTTTTTGTTACATGTTAGTTGTTTTCATTGTTTCAAACAAAGTTTTCATATATGCCTAATTTCATATAACTATCGAGTACGCCTAAGTTCTGAGTTTTCATTCAGATCTTCTCATCGCATCACAGAATACACTGGATAGGCGAACATTTTTGTGTCTATAGGTTACTGAAATCCAGTTTAAAGTCCTCAAATGTCTTCCAAAATGTAAGTGGTTTCCATTTACAAAATTTTCGTGGATTCTGCGCACAAACAACTGCAACGTAAATTTCATCGGCACATTTTTTTGTCGCGGATTCAGCAACGAGCGAATACAGCCAGTTGATCCGGGTTCCGCAAATGTAAGCGGATTCCGCAAGCATAATAGATTTCGCCAATTTAGGCGCAATCCGCTCAAAATTGCGGATTCCGCTTACAATTTGCGGATTCCGATAGCAATTTTGGATTCTACGACATCGTAATTTTACTGTACACATATTTTATTATTTGTTTAAGGAACCCAAAACGGTTCCGTTTTATGCAAACTTCATTGCAGATACCGCAAAATTTGAGCGATACAGCCGTAGTTTAGCTATTTGTTCGTGGAATCCAAAGCAACAGAAATATATCAAAAAACAATGTTGTGGATCCCTCAAATCTGTTTTCAGCCTCTTGTGGAATCTGCTTACGTTTCACAAAAAACACAGTTTGGCCTCCTAATGACAACTTGAAAAAACAAACACTTTTTCTTTTAGTTGTTTTACCATTGTGGTCGGAAACTTCAGCGCTACTAGCACAGCAAACGGCTAACTTTGTTTCGATCGCAAAACTCTGAGCGCAGTAGTCTGAAGATGGCATAATTTCGATAATGAAATTGTATTCATACCAATTTTTGGTCATGACATCAATATCTTTCAGATGGTTTCAAAAAAGTTTGTCAAAAAGATTAACTAGAAGGTCCAAACTGTTCTAAATAAAAAACTACCAAGCATAAATACTCAGGCAATTGCTTCCGAAAGGTCTTTTCTTTTATTGGCGCAGGCTAAATCAGCTTAAGTTCAAAAATGAAATTCCGATTTTGTTTAATAGTAATTATTATCAACCTGTCGAAAACAAGAAATTTGATATACTTTTCAAAAAACTTAAAAGATGATTTTTGGACTGAATAATTCAAAATGCTCCCATCACTTACCTCGAAGTCGAATATGAGGTGGTCAATTGGGATGGTGTATTTGCGGGCGTAGTTCTGCTGCACCCCTGTTAAGAAGGCCTGAGTGAAGTAGAATCGGGAGATCCAAAACGTCACTGGGGGGCCGTTCTCACACCAATCCTGTAGTAGACAGAAAAAAAACACTTCAGTTTCCGAAAAAGAGAGATTAGGTGAAGTTCTACAGGAGCACTCCAGTTTTCTCAAACATAAGGTCATTCAAATAGATTGCGAAAAGTTCATTCAAATAGATTGCGAAAAAGTCATTCAAATAGATTGCGAAAAGGTCATTCAAATAGATTGCGAAAAAGTCATTCAAATAGATTGCGGTGTAAAAATAATTAATTTAGAATCATTTTTCCACGAGGAAAAGGTCCAACACTCGAATTGTTCTGAGGCTTACGGAAAAGCGGAAAACAACCGTTTTGACTCTGGCTTTGATCTGCATTCAATGTATTTGGTTGTTTTTCTGGACTGCTAATTATTGCTTTACCTCAGACAACGGGCCCGGTTAAAAATGGACCAACGACTACCGACCTTTCGATTGACATGTGGATACTTTCCCTACATATATTGTAGCGAGGGGACTAGTTTTTTGTGGTTCGAAGCTCAAAATCAATGTTTTTATATGCTTTCATACGGTACTCAACGGCAGTTTTCCCTATTCAGCTGAGCGACGAGTAATTTTTTGATTGCCAAAAAATTCAAATCAGGTCAGTTAGGGATAAGGAGGAGCATGACAAAACTTGTGGGTGGGGGGAGAGGTATTTGAGAAGTTCTAGAATTATTAAACGATCTGATTGTTTCCACCTACCTCCAAGAAGCTGAGTCTGGCGCAGAAGTCTGCCACGTACCCTCCGAGAGGCTTCAGGGAGGGGTAGGACTTTTCCATCCACATACGGGGGATCTTGCCACTCAACATGCTCTGGAACACCTCCTCAAGGTCACTCGACATCACCACCAGACCCTGGAAAGAAGTTGAAAACAAAAATTAAATCAAAATAAATGAGGGCAAAATGTGCCACTGATTTTAAGAGGAGCGAAATATGCACTGACCTTTATTGCTTTTTGAATATTAAGCAGACTTGTTCGGATCACAATCAGCAACACGTTGAACCTAAACGTTGAAACTGAAACTTCTCTAATTTTTGAAATTTTGATCCAGTTTTAAGGAAAGGTTTTGCCACAAAATTGTGTTTTACTCGTACTAAAAATTATCATATTGCCTTTAATATACTGTATGTAGGCCCCAACAGCATGCAAACTCCCTCATTTCTGATAAATTTAGACTTGAAACAATCTGATTAAAACATTTTGATTGAAATTTCAAGAAGCCAACAAGCATCAAATTTGGGTCAAAATAAGCTCGAAAATTATGCAATATGGTATAAAATCCTAACTCATAGGAAAAAAACGTTACCTTTCCAATCCGGACTCATAAAACAAAATAGTAAGTTTGAAAAAGTTCATGTCTGTTTAAAGGAGAAAATATTGAAGTAGATTTTTTTTTTCGTTTTTTCGGTTACTGCTTTTTTGTTTTCTTTTAGGACCAAATATCTAAGAAAATATGAAGTACCTGACCATTTCCTGGACCAATACTGTGTTCATACTCTGATTATAATCAGTGGGGTAACTCTTCAGAGTAGATTCAGTGTCGAAGTTGGGGGGCAGTTTTCCCAGAATGTCTGAGGCAACTTCATTTATAACTTGATCCGGTGTTTTCTGTTTGCCTCTCGATCCAGAACGAGCCTGTAAGAACTCATTTAAATTACTAAGTTATCGTTATCTCAAAAAGCTGACATGCAATTCTACTCATTTTGAGTGAACTAAAGCGGTAGGGCAACAATTCGTAACAGGCGACAATTCGTAACAGGCGACAACTCGTAGCAAGGCATCGTCAAGTAGAATACGCTTGTTCCGCTTCGATCCGCTGTGCTTACATCCGGCTCCACATGGAGTAGAGTTGCCTGTCTCGAGAGGAATACTGCGCGTGAATGAGTGTTCCCTGCTTAATCTACTGTTACGAATTGTCGCCTGTTGCAAATTTTCACCTTTTACGAGTTGTCGCCTCACGGTCTAGAGTGGCAGATAAATGTAAAGATAATGCTTTATGCTTAATGGAATTTTTAGGATTGTCCCTCAAATTTTTCAAGAAAAATAATGCATGTCGTTTCCTATCCCCCCTTTTCCATGGCACTTTTTAACGAATCCTCCCTTTTAAGAAAAAATCAATTTTTGAGAAACATGTACGAATTTTGTATCCTGTAACAAATCCCCCCTTTTTGCAAGGAGGGGTAGTAAACAAGATCCAAATTATTATCAAAACTTGGTGATTTGCTTTTGCTTAATCCTGATTGAAGAATTTGAGCAAAAAACCCATTTTCATAATGAAGGTTTGGGCAGAGTTCCATAAAAACAAACAACGCAATGATATCTCCAAACAGGTTTCGTCTTCTTTTTTTTCTAGATTAACCTAATCTAATGCCCAATGACTTCTCAAATTAATTCAGAATATCATGTGTCTTAATATTTGCGTGCGTTTTTATTTACAATAACTTTTCTTTAATTTTTGTAGTTTTTGAGATATCAAAACCTTTTTTTCATAAAGTTCCTTCGTTTTGTCTAGGTAAATCCCAAAAGTTTTTGTAGGTACGCTTTGTGGCAGACTTTTTTGGCATTAAAATTTTTCACAATTTGTAGCAGGTAAAAAATCATAACAGGCTACTGAAAAAGCCTTTTCACGAGTTGCCGCTTGTTGTTCCGACTTTCGATACGAAAGTAACGGAATATTTATGCTCGGGGTGGGTTTTTTTCTTCAGACAAATTTCGACTTTTTAACTAGCCATTTTTGACGGAATTTTTTTATATCATTCAAAAGGTATTGTTGTTCTGAGCTTAAATTTGAAAAAATATTTCACCTGTGATCAATTTTTGTAAAGTTATGGGGGTTGAAAGATTGCCATTTCAAGACAATTAACGCGCGATATATTTCGCGTAATTAACGCGTAAGCGAGATTTAATCCGTCTTAGAAATCGTTCCAAATTGGTTGAAAGAAGCTTATTTTCCATGATTGATTTGCTACTAGAAGCGAACTTTATCACTTTGTACTTTATATGGCGTGCGGGGGGATGATTTTTACAAAAAACTTCATTTTTTTTCTTTTTTTTATTTAATTTTTTCATGTTATCACTGCTTCATAGACCTTAAAAGGCAGTCGGAACATTCAGGGCTTCGCCCTGATACGAGGAGTCTTGTTACGATTTAAAGCCTGTTATGTTTTGCTGTCATTAACGAATTTTTGCGCAGCCAGTTTTGTTGAAAACGCGTTTCTTGTTGAAATCTGTTTGGGGTTAAATTTTTGAACATAATTGCAAATTTTCTATTTTTTCGTATTCTGAATATGGTATTGATTTTAAAGAACTTTTTTTATAAATCAAAAGAAAACAAACTACCACTCGTTTTTGCCATCAAAGTTGCAATTTTAATAGTTTTCAAAAAAACTTCACTTTCGTATATTTTGAATTGAGTTTTAAAACTAACTTCGATGGGCAATAGTTAGAGGCGTATCACCGATTAACAGATACTGTTATTTTCTACAGGCACAAGTAATGTCTGGATCTATATGTATACAAACTATATAAAATTTCACATGACTCAACTTCAAAATGCTCTAAATTTAATCATTGGAATAGTAAAACATATATCATAAGACTCATCAGCGTCTATAAAAACCTTTTCAAAAAACTTTTGTTGCGCAACACGCACACTGTGATTCAAATCGTATTGGAGCTAGATTTATGATGGAGGGGTCGGCACTTCCTACTGGTCATTGCCTACAATGTGCGTCCTTTCTGGAACTAATTCCTGACAATTCTGGACGTTTTGACTTCTCAGAAACCATGTTGACAAAATGCATGCAAACTTGCGAAATCAAATGAAATTTAACAATATACATTCTAAACTGAAGTTGATTTTAGTATCAAAAAGTTTACTGAAAAGAAAGTCTTATAAAACGCAAAAACTCTTTTGCTGGGGCTATAAAGGGCAAGACCCAAAACTTTTCACCCCCTCCCCTATCAGTCATATGATGTCCGACCTGTGTTTTGAGTATGTTGTTGAACAGCATTTGAGTCTCCTGTTGTTCCTTAGTGATGTCCGCGTTGGCGTGCATCCCAAACACTTCTGGCGACTGATTGGTTGGTAGGTTCTTAATATACTCCAGGTAGAGGTCATACTGAAACGAATACGTACTCCTCAAATTATTATTAAAAATTGATACTCAAGCTTTTTTCTAACGAAAACCAAAAAATTTATTTTTTCAGAAAATAATTTTTTTGGGAGTTTTGAGGTTTTTGAGGTTATTTCAGAAATTGAATTTTGTTGAGGGAGAATTTTTCTGGCATCGGTTGTTCTACAGTTTTTCGAAAAAAAAAATCTTCTAATTAAACATACATGAAACTCGAATGAAATTGAAGAACAGTTATTTGGTAAACGGTCAGAAATAGTTCTGAGTTAGGACCGATGGTTATAACTCATAGAGTAATTTCGGATAGGGTACACCGTCTGCTCGTCACGCTATCTTATTTTCGGCCGGATAGATTCGTGCAACTTCTTAGTCTAATACCGATCCTAATCTTACTCTTATAATAACTAGTCTCAGGTTGTTTAACTAGTCTCTGCTAGGCTCAATAGATCTAGGGTATACTGGTTTATTGCGGCTGCTGAAGTACTCGGGAGAGTTCAACTAATTTCTAAGTTAAATTCAAATCTCTCTGGTGCTGAAATTACAAGTAATTTCAGCACTTACAAATAAGTGGATTGTTAGTTAGATGGATCATGATTGGTTAATATTAAATACTTTACATTGATAAAATATCTAATTTATCCAATCATAAAATGTAGTTTAGATCAGGTTCCACCCATCCGGGTTTTACAGAGTTTTTTAGAATAGTCTTTCTGCAATTCAAAAGATGGATGATGGACGTTGGTATTTGGCGAACATCTTATTTCTTCTGGGTTTTCTTATTAGAGAAGTCCCAGATTCAATCGTTGTGTCTTCTCAAGACAACGACTGGGTTTTCGCAACAAACTCAAATCTGATTTCAGAATGGTTGGCTATGTCAGGTTTTTCTGTTTCATTGGTGAGAACTTCTTTGTGTTTGACCTTGTCTGGGAATGGCGTGGAGATTGTGCGTGGAGGGGATGCCTGGTTACTCGGATCTGTACGTATACTTGAACATCGAGGTGGTCATTGGTCTAGTTCAATGAAGTCCTTTTCTGCGAAGTCAAGTCGTACTCTAAATCCTTTGAGTTGTGATTGTGGGCGATATATTGATTGTAGTTGGCCATTCTTTCTCGAGTGTAGTAGGGTCGTTTTGTCTTTGGATGTTCGTCCTTGGTGTTGTATTCTGATCTATGTATTGCATAATGTAATTTACACTTTTATAAAACTTTTATTAGTTTAATATTTTTTAATTATGATTTTAGTTAGTTGTTTTCACAAAAACTTTTTGTTTTAGTTCAGTTATTTTGAAGAGTTACTCACCCTTGAGTAGCTCTTATTAAAAATAGGAGTATGGTCACAAAGCGTGGATGTAGCGCGGTGGGTTAGGCCGGCTATAGAGCATGCTCAGGACGTACTTCCTGGTGGGTTAGGCCAGGAGTGGGAGTATGATTGCATGCGGTTTTTGTGAGAGGTCCTGTTATGTGACAACGTTTTATGTTGGGTTTGTTGTGGTTTTTCTTATGTTTTGTTGGTTGTGTCCTTTTTTCAAAATCAAATTGTTTGTGGTATGGGTTTGTCTTTCGACTTTTTTGTGTTTTATTATTTCTTTCTTAGACTTTATAATAGTCTTCAAAAGAATAAATTATCCAGTTTTAAACTGGGTTAATCCGGTTTGGGTACCGTTGGTTTCCTTTTCTTAGTCATGCTGTTATGCTATGTGTTGTGGTGTTTAGTAAGCTGCATTGGTTAGTTTTGTTTAGTATATAATTCCTTTCCAACCGGGTTAAAGGAAAGTTTGAAACGTGTTATCTTGTGTTAGAGTTATCGAGTGTGAAAGCTTGAAACTGAAATTCATTATTTTAAACAATTCTTCGTGGGCGAGCTGTGCGAGTTTGGATAGAATTCTTGTGCGAGTGAATGAAAATAGCAAAAGGTTAGTACTGTATTTGCTTCTTATTAATTTACTACATAGAATTTTATCTTTACTGCTAGTTGTTGGGGGAAAATTAAGTTACAAATTTTCATCATTATTAGATTTACTGCTTGTGGGGGAAAAACTTATAAATTAATTTACTGCATTGGTATTATATTTATTTAATTGTTGGTGCAAAAATTTAATAGGGTTTTAAACAGTTTTGAAGAAGTTTGCTATTTTTTATTTTTCTTTTGTGAATTTTTCAGATGATCTAGGATGAAGGCTAAAATTCTAAAGAAAACATGGATAAAGAATGGTGAGTTTCTAATATTTAAATTAGTTAGTAATATGTATAATTCATACTTACCTGTTAGTCGTTGGGGAAGAAACCGTGGGGGAAGATGTCGTGGATGAGATCTGAAGTTGTTAGTAATTTGGCTAAGATGCGGATGATATTTTTAGTTTGAAGCAGTGGCCAAAGCAATTGAAGTGCCTTAATGGTGGTTAGTTCTTCAGTGCCAACTGCAAATTCATAAGGTGTGTTTTGGATTAGATTATATAATTTGTGGTTGAATTTAGTGTTATGGATGAATTCTAAAATGGGGATTTCTATAGGTTGTACAAACTCGTGTGGGATGAGGAAGGGTCGGGATTCTTCTGCGTTGAAGGTCTTGGTGATGGGACAAAAGATATACATTTGGGTTATGGGATCATAATTTCGAAGAATACCATGAAGGTTAGTATCTTTAATGCAATATGTGAAGTTAAGAAAGAATGGTGAGGTGTATTTGGAATTGATGAATTGAAAACGATGGTGTGGTTGTCTGGAGGGAGTGTGTAGGTCAAAGTGATTTTGGATGAAACGATAATAAGTATATGTGTGTGTTTGTTTAGTGCGCAACATAATATCGTGTGAGCAGTGCAAATCTCTTTCATGTGGTGCAAGGAAATGAAAGGTTAGTGAAAATATTTGGAAGCGTTCTTTAAAACTTTCGTAGGCTTGCGTGTCTGTTAGTGCTTCTGAAATAATGTGGTCAAACTTGCGATCGAAGATATTTAGTGTAAATACATATGGTGTTTTAATGAAAAATTTCTCGGTGATTTGTGGGTTAGCGAAGCGATCGTCGTCTAAGAATTGATCTTGGTTAGTTCTGATGATGTTATGATCGTAATATTCTAGTGTATATTCATTAGCTCGGGGTGCAGTGTGTGTTTTTAGTGATTTTTTATATCCAATGTAAGTAAATTGTCTAGGTGTTAGTGTTGTAGTGAGTCGATATAGCATGTCCTTATTTCGTTCTATATCGATATGAGTGTTAGATAAAGGTAAGCAAAGGGGATTTGTAAAATGATAATATGAGGTCCAAGGAAGGGTAGGCATTAAAACGTATTCGTCTACAAAGTTACGTGTCTCGTTAGTGTCATGAGGGGTGTTTAAGGTGTATTGTGGAAATGAGGGTAAGGTGATAGCTAAAAATTCTTTTGTGTTAGTGTGTTGTGGATGGTTGATATATTCACGGGCTGTTCCTGGTTTCGTTGGGAAAGGATGGTTGGGGAACTTCCTTTTAAAAGTGCGGTAAGCTCTATTAGTGCTGAGTGAAGATTCAGTAGTTGTGGATGATGGTGCTAATGATTCAGTATAAATTGAAGAGGGTGTAGGGGTAGGAGGGTTGGATGAATCTATTGTGGATGAGATTTGGTTTATGGTTGGGGTGTCAAGGTGATAGGGTTGTTGTTGTAGGGTAATGAAATTATCTAGTTCTGGGGAGATTCGGGGGGTGTCTGGAGAATGAGATGATTGGTCTGAGTGAAGTGAGGAGTAGGTTGGAGTGACTTGGGAAGCATAAGAGGGTGTAGAATTGGTTGGGTCAGGGTTATTTCGTAGTATGGGTTGAAAAGGGGGTTGGGAAAAATTTAAGGAATTGGTGTGAAAATTATTTGATGGAGATGGTTCAGAGTCGGCAAATTCATCGGGGGTTTCAATATTCGGGTTATTGAGTTGTGAGATGGAGTATAAAACTGAGATGTGTGAATTAGTATCGGAATTCATGCCGGATGTTACATTACTGGATGGGAAATCGGGTGGCGGAAAAGCAAAAAGTGGTATTATTGGGATTGGAGTGGTGAGGTTGGTTGGGTGGGAATTTGATCGGTGTAGGGATCCAAGTTGTCGGCTCATCGTGGGCTAAAAAAAATATTATTTTGAGACTGAAAAGCGGTGGTATGGGGTTGTTCTATAATTTGTTCATAAGTATTTTCATCTTGTGAGTGGTGTGGCATTATATGTTGGATGGGACTTTGTGATATGGTTGGTCTAAAATTATTATGTGTTATGGCTAAATTTCGAAAATTACGTGGGACTAGGGATAATGGATGGTTATGTGGTAGGGGTGGTAACTGTGGTGCTGTTGGTGTTGTGTCTGCATTGTTATGTTCTTCGTCGTATGTGTTCTGTCTTGTTGCTATTTTTGTGTTATATTCTTTTATTTGTGCGTCTAAAAGAATTTTGTTTATAAATGTAGAAATTATTCCAAAAAATCCTGCAAATAGTATGCGTGCTACACTTGCTTGTCTATTGACTTGTGTGTGTATAGCACATGTGTTATAGATTCCTTTTAAGAGTGAAAAAAGAAATCCAATAAAGTTAAACATTGCGTATAAAATAGTCAGTTTTTCTAAGATGTAGTAGGGCCATCCTAGAAAATCAAGAATTTCATTCTTAAGTGTAACAAAGCTAAAAATATTGATAGGTGATATATCTTGGGGACGGTATTTTTCACGGTTTAGATATACATATAATCTTTAATGTCCTTAAAATATCCGCTATAGTCTTGCGTATAGATGTCTGCAAATCCTGCGGTTTCTGCAAGTTTGCGTAAGTTTTGGTCAATTGATTGTCTTTGTATTGTGTCCATTTGTGTTAATAATTCCTGGAATTGTTGTGTTCTAATGTGATGTTGAAAATCTGATTTTGAGTATATTCCTATTGATTGTAAGTCTATATTTGGGTTTCGAGCGATAGCGCGAATGCTTTCTGGTGAAAATTTTTTGAGTGATTGCATTAATGTGGGATATGGGGTGAGAAGGTAATATT